TTCATTGACGAAAGATCGCAGGGAAATGGGATGGGTGTCCTGTTGGAATTTGGCTTCGGGATCGATGGTGTCTTTAGACGAATTCCCTGTAATCTGAGTGTATGAAATACAGCGATTTTACTTGAAAAATATTCTAAAAGCACGAAAAAGAGGAATTCTTTCTTCTTCATCGCACTGGATACAGCTTTTTCACGAATTTACAGTTCAATAGGGGATGTAATTCCGCGAGTGGGCCACAGTCGTTGACAGAAACGTGGAAATCACCCTTGAAAAATAGAGCGCTCGAAGAGGATTGTATCAGATTTTCGAAAAACATTTTCACATTCGTTAGCCGCTTTGAAATCGAAGTCGGTACGATTAGACGTTTAAAAATAGAATCTCGTCGAAGAATTGGACGTTCGATCGATCGTCCATTAAATATTTTTATTCGATATATAGCAGGAGATTTCAAATTTCGTATTTATAAATTTCCATATTATTCCTCGGGACAAATTCTCACCAAATTTCTGCATCTGCGCGTGCAAATTTTCTGCGTTCCAAGGTATACTTCAATGTCACGAGTCGGTAACAGTAGTTAACAGTAACCGAAATGTTATTCGAAACGGTAGTGGTAAAACGTGAAATGTATGAACTGTGAATTAATCAAAGCGTTCAGTTTGAATTGTACGGGTGAGTTGGAGCGGACGAATGCCTGTTCGGGATTAAACGATCGAATTAATTCCAAAGCACGTCGCTCAAACAGAATTATAAAGCCAAGTAGGCGACGGTTATTCATTCTCCTCGGGAGAAAAACGAGGAAAACGAGAATCGCGACTACTTTGGAATTTTATTGCCAACCAAAAGGCGAAATTCGCGATAAATCGTTCCTCCATGACAAACATCTTTTTCCTCACCTCCGAGTAATTCGTAATTTCAGAGAAATTGCATTTATCGCGTTGTTGGAAACAATTCAAGCAACGCTCGCTTTGAATTAAGTGCACAATATTTCGCCACGTTATCGTACCCAGTTGTCGTTAAATCAGCACTCAAGAATGAAAAGGTAGAGCAATCTTCTGTAAAGTAATCGATTAATAATCGTGTAATTGGCAATTAATGCTCGCGTTATTTGCGTGGATGACGCAAATGCTTTTTCGTTGCGTGCGCTTATTAATTATCCGCAATAATAATCTCTACGAAACTTCGTCGACCAACGCTTAATGAATTCCACAAACTTCCATAGTGATCGGGTTAATTTGTAGAACGTACCCCCTGATACAAGAAATCATTCTCATTCCGGAGGGACGAGCCGATCCCAATACCGAACACCGGATTTGTCAAAGTTACCGAATTACTCGGATTATTTGCGACCCACCCTTTTCCACCCGAGAAAGATAATCCGGAGAGGAAGAGAATAAATCAAACGAGCGAAGTGGAAATAAATATGAATTAAAACGCGTATAACACTCGGCACCGAAATGGGGGGAAAAATTGTGGTTTCGCGTCGGGTTGGAAAACGTCACAATTTTCCAGACGCGGCTGGGAAAAATCTTGTCCAAAACCTTCTTCGAACGCGAATTTGTAGTCGCGTTAATTGATTTATGATAAAGGATATTGTCTGACTGAGATGCATTTATTCCCCAACGTTATTACGTAAACAGGAAGACGCAACGACGTAAAAATAATGCTTGCGCGGGTGTGTATACACGGAAAAAACCACGGAGAAGTATAAAATATGTTCTCTGATCCCTGTAGTAAACACCCATCGTGGTACTGTTCACTGCAAAGAAAGATTAATGCTCGGTAACAAACAGCCGGCTAATTAAATTCTACCGGTAACCACGGTTTCGTAATCGAGCTATCAATATTAACGAAGGAGGGGAAGAAAAATGTACACGACTCCCAGTAACAGTGTAAATTAAACTCGCGATTAGACAGAAGCAAATGGACAGCTGATGGTGAGTATAGTAATCGGTGTTTAGGCGAAGTGAAATACGAGTTTATCCGCTTGGAAGGAATTTGCACGAGTAGAGCAGGCAACGGAGGCAGAGGACTAACGTTGCGATGGAACGCGAGTCGAATTTTGCGAGGGATGAAGATCAGATTCGTGACAGAGGTTTAGACGTCACGCGTGGTTTATAGCAGAGGATTATCCGGGTAAACGATTTCAGCTTCTACTTTATCTTCCTCGAGCAATTACGCTCGAAACGATCCATTTGTCTCGCGCACGATAGCATTTGTTCGGGGATGTCGAAGGGTCGGGGGTTGTTTCTTTAGAATCGTGTCGAATCAATGGGAGAGTTAGGTTTGGGTCAGGTTCTCTTTATACCTTGGATGGAAGACCGTAATGGGTAATGTTAGGAGTTAATAGAGTTAGTTAAAACAATTGGTTTTTGACCTTCGTGCAGATACTTTTTACGGAATTAACGCGACTTCTTTGTCGAGATAGAAATTAGGGGGAATTATATTTACTGGTTAATGTTTTATGGTATACTCGGGATATTCACGTAATTAACTAGCAATATTTTTGTTTCAGGTGGGACTAGGAGCAAATAGCAGAAGAAGACGAATGGTTTCAAAAAGCCTGCAAGATTATGGGACTCGGTTTTGCGCAGGAGGAGGCGTGACGGTCATATGTAGATAAGTAACATTTTATTAAATCTATCTCTTTTGTATTCCATACTGATAACGTTAGTCGTAATAATCTATGCACGAGTACGAAGTTTATGCACATATTAGAGAGATGTTGATAGAATAATTAAAGGGCTCGTATCAAAAACATCAAAAAAGGAAGAAGACACTGACGTTCGATTTGTTTGCACAAGACCGGTGGATTTTCCTTATACGTGTCACAATTCAGGAAATAATTGTATCTGTTAGAACATTGTTACTTAACATCCTTATTTAAAAGCTGAAAAAAATTGCCAAGGGTCGTATTCGATGCGAGCCCTTCGATCCGATACCTTCGTCGAACCTCTCAGCTTTATCTCCCTTCCAGATAAAAATTTCCAAAACCCTCTTATCCCACCCCTTCGTTGCCTCGTTATTTCGCTTCCCACTACCCCCATAGTATCCTCGAGTAATATCGAAGAGGGCGATCTGAAATCCCCGTTGAAATACTAGCACGTTCTCCATCGAAGATCTTCCGCGTCCTGATCCTTTCCCTCGATCCTCTTTCAACCCTTTCGTGCCAGTCTCACCTGGAAGCAGCTACTTTCAGAATCTAATTGGCATAATCACGCTCGAGGTTGAAAATGTACAAGGTGGAATGGAAAATACAGGAAAGCGATCGGAGGCAAAGCTGCGTGGCAAAGGTGACGAAAAGGTAAATCGGATTACGGGCCGCATAATCGGCCGATAGACAGACACAGCGAGGGTACCAGTTGCTTCGCAACCAGTTGCTCGTTGCAAGGGTGGCGACCTGGCCTCGGTTGCACAGCCTCGAAAAAGAATCGCACCCTACTCCAACTCGCCCTTCTTTTTCCAGATGGTTCGTGAACCAGCGGTGAACAGCGTTGTCCAGACACCGCGGAACGAGCGTGGAACCTCGAACCGAGGTTTTATCCGCGAACTCACCCTCTGGAAGAGATCCTCGTGGCGGGGAGGTCGCCACGCCTCCCGCGTCTATATAAACTACCGGTCCGATGTGGAAACCTCACTTGCACTCCGGCCACGGTCAGGAAAGGGCACTCTGACATCTGCTCTGATATCCGCTCTGACAACCCCTAACACGCTCCCGATTCGTCCTCTGTTCTCCTCTCCGCGAGCAGCAAGAGAGTCATGAAGTTCGGTCTGTTCTGCTTGGTCTGCTTGTTGGTCGTCTTCGCCGACAGGACCCTTGGCAACCCCTATATCGACGAAGGTGAGTAACGAATGGATTTTTTTTTTAATTATGCGGTGCTTGGTGTACATGTGCGTGTCTGTGTGTGTGGGCGTAGTTTGGAAGTAGTTTGGTGCGCGATTCGAAATTTTTGGTGAGAGGTAGTCGATGACGGGGAGATCACGACGAAGAACGGTGTGCCTCGAGGGGGTACGAGGTAGATTTTAGACGATGAAGTGGGAATATGGTATAGGTTGAGCTTCTCAGGTGGATTTATGTATCTCTCGAACAGGTGGTTTCGATGATTCGAGTATAGCGTTGCTTCAGGTTCCTCGTTAGGCTTCATGAATGAGACGTGGTTGAGTTACTCGTAGGGGATGAAATAGAGTCGAAGGAGGGAATAATGGGTATTTTTAGCTTCGCGTTCGACTTTCCATTCGCATTTGAATCTTTTCACATCGCGGGTGGTAAATACGTTTCAACGACGTGGTTTGAAGCACGATCGACGTGCCTAATCTCGTTTCTTCCTTAACAACTACGTATCGCGACAGTTCGCAATGACAGTGGTAAATATAATTCACGCGAATTATACCGGGTAATTAGATAAATGTAATTCAAGTTTGCTTAATTCTACGTTTAATTTCCTATTTTCTATTAACTATGTCGAAGTTAGGATTGCACGTGGATATTGAATTATAGAAAAATAGATTTTAGTATAGGAGATTAACAAGGATATAAAAATGACAGTAGAATAACAGAAAGAAATATGCTATAATATATGTATATGAAAATTACTATGTTAGACGCGGATCTTTGGACAGTCTTTGGATTCTTTTACTCTTAGGGTTTTACTTTACATCACTTTCTTTCTTTTTTCTGACGTATTGCTTCACTCCCTTATCATGCGCTCTTTCCCATCATTGCCGGTTCTCATTTACTCATCATTCATATCAACTCGATCTCGATTCATTACCTCCACGAACCAGGACCATTTCCATCGGGAGCGGTATAACCATAATTACATTTGCGTTAATTAATGAACACTGCCCACGTGCAGTGAGAAAAATGCGAGAGAGCAGGAAAAAACCGTGTGGGTTTAATCCCGATCGCGAGAAGAAAGAGAATCGTTTATTAGCTCGAAAAAATTCTCTCATTTATTCTCCCATTTATTCCCACAAATTCTACGCCATGCTTTAACGTGGCGCTGCAATTTTTATCTACTTTTTGCACGTTAATTCCGAGTGTTACATACTAAAGGAAGGAAAGAGAAGAAATCACGATTGTTCGGTTCGAGGGATGTTCTGTGTTCGATGCTGTGTATTCGAGGTAGGAGTATTGCGTTCCTGTCTGCGGCTTGCGGCTAGTAGTATAAACCCGTATGATATCAGGCGTCTGGCAACCGAACCCATTGCGTGACATGTTTGCCAAAATAGCGACTTCTGTCACTCACATTGCCACATTATCCTTTCTCTGGAATACCTCGGAACCAATTTCCCAATCTAGATTTTCTCGTATCGAATAAATATAACGATCGGCGTTTTCGTAGGCGACATTTACTAACAGTCGAGAATTTTTAGGATTTTTAGGATTTTTCTGTTATCGTATTTATCGGATATTTATATATTTTAAAATACTTCTCAAAGAGTTTAGGAAGAATTAAATTTTTTCTCTTCTTTTTTTTAACGAAGGTTGTTAAATTTCGTGGAAAATAAAATACCGACGTGGGATGTTAGTACGAGTATTGGATAACGCTTTTGATTGAAATTTCTCTGATAGAAATAATGCGTTTTCGAGATGACATTGTTAATTATGTTAATTAACCGCGCAAACAAAACAGTTTTCGTTGAAAACGCGTTACGCAAGGATCGTGGATTGAAAAGAAAATGAAATCAACGTTGGTCTGGCTGGCGACCTTGGTCGACGGTTTAATTGAACGTGCGTTTAATTAGCTTCGATGGCTTCGTCGAGACGTATCGGGGTTTTGTAACACACCTACACCCTCCGATATTTTCATCGAGTGTACTTTTCGGACGAGGCCCGCTCGATTTTTCAGTGAAATAATTCCGCGCGAATTTAAATGGAGCTCATCAATTAAAATTCGCCGATATATCGGAAATTCCTGCGAAACGAATACATTCTTTTCGTATCGACTTTGCCTTTATTCATTGCGATGATGTAATATGTATGATATTCATAGGAATTAATATTCAGTAACAGACGAAATTTTCTTACGGATCCTCTGCAATCGAACAGTTTTATTTTAATATTTATATTTAAATTATTATTTAATTAAAATAATTTCCAATGTGACGCAATCTCGAATATAAAACAGCGAACAAAGTAACAAAGTAACAGATAATATCAATCACGTTTAAAAAAAAATTCAAAGAGTAGCTTTTATTCCATTTTATTATTCAAAAAATAAAAATACTCGCGATTTCATTCACTTTTTTACCGTGCAATCCACTACCAAAATGAAAATAATATTATCAAACAACCAACAATGAATTCCATATTTTTATACCCTTTGCAACATAAAACAGTAAATAAACTCATTACCACAGGCAAAATAACAATTTTGACATCAAACCACTGTCTACAGCTTAATTAACACCGGGTGTTGGAAATAAAACCATCTTTAGATTGTTGAGACGAACAAAAGTAATTCCGTGTTCTTCTCAACAGCCTGTGGGCTACAGAGAGTTTCGTAATTTTGCGGTTGCTTCGTGGTAAGGATATTGAAACATCGGCAGCATTCCCGGGACGACCGGAAGTGGGAACAGACGGGAAAAGCCGGCACGTGAGATTACCTTAATCTCGGAGGCCGTTGATGAGAGTACCGACGTCAAAGAAAACGAAGGAACGAGGATAACGAATTGTCATTGCGCGCTCGCTGTAGTCCGTATAATCTACTTCTTCTTGAATCCTGCTAGGGATTATTATTTCTGCCGAATTAACAAACTCCCTAGCGGCGAATTAACGCTCGACACCTTGTCCTTTTCGAGTCATCACTCCGATTTCCATTTGCATTTCAAGACTCGTAATCATTTTGGTTGAAATTGAAATTTCGCGAAACGTTTGTCGAATTTGCGAAGGAATTGTTGGTTCGAGTGGTGTTACAAGAAATTTCTGGAGTCTGAGGATAACGTGAAAACGTAGTATACGAATCATTTGCACGATAAAGTGATTGATTCCATTCCTTCAATTAAAAAATATTTATTTCTTAACTTTTTAAATTTAAAATAAATTTCTATTTTTTTTATCTCGTGAAATTAATTAATTTGATAAATGAGTGAGTCGTATTTTGATAGTATTACTTATATTTTGACATGTTTTTCCCTTTTCTTCTTTATTTAATTTCTGATGCTTCCGAATTGATTTATTTGGTGTTTGAGAAAGGAGTTTGGATTATGGGGTTATTCTTGGGGATTAAGAAGGTTGATGGATTAAGGGTCTAGCTGTTTGCAGAGGATATGAAATGTAAAATATGTTTGGATACAGTGTCAGGGCGAAAATTGATTTAGGATCCTGAATCTCGTCCATGGCGAGGAATTCTTCCAGGCGTTTCTTCGATGTGAAAATATTATTCAAAGATCCTTAAGTCCAGTCCTGTAAGTCTTAAGTCCTTTTCTCATCGCTTCACGGGTATCGCGGTTTTTACTTCGCGAGAAATATTCATTCGTGTTAATTTATAACGTTTATCAATAAACTCAAAATTCCTGACGACTCGAGTACGAATCTAAAATTCAAAAGATTCGAATTTAATTTTCAAACTCGTGAATTTTATCCAAATTAGAGTTCCGATCGACCATCTTCATAGCAACTTCGTGTAAGTTCCAGGGAAAAAGATAGCAATGGTTGAAAAGACGAATCGATAGGGAAGGAAAGTTTTGATAGGCTGATTTAAAATAATATTTCACCAAGGGCAGTCGTGTCTGTCCTTCGAGGAAAGTGGAAAATGAAATTTTATCGAGATACTGGCTGACTTTAATACTTTTTCCGCTCAGGGTGGCGGTTTACGTGATCCGGTTCGGAAAATAGTTTCATAAAGGGAAGCTTGTCAGAGGAACACGTTTCGTCGAGAATAATTTACTTCTTTTCCACGCTTTTGCATCATAATTCTGCGCAGCAGACTTCGTCACGTGATAACGCTATTTTCCTTTTTGAACGCGCGAATTTTCCCACCATTTCGAGGCATTTCTTCCCGATGTTAGATAACGTTTGTTGATCAGACATTTCCCGCCCTTTTCGCCACGATCCCCGAAAGATAAACTCGTCGAATAACCCGGCTAAATGTTTTCGATTCGTCTTCGACTGCAATTTCTCGAATTAAGCTTTCACGAGCACGGAAACCTGTGCAGCGTCGCGTTTTATCTGGAAACGTTCATTGGATTCCAATGAATGGCACTCGCAAAGGGGAATTGATTCGTCTAAATCACGTTTTAGCAGATTTGTCACTGTCGTGCGAGATAACTTGCCAAGAACTTCGATAATTTTCTTCTATGATTTAGGATCCTCGCGCCCAGATTTCAGACGATAAATCGGGGAATCTTAAATATCTGGAAGTGGAAGAGGTATTACGTATCTCGTTTAACGATTGATTTATCGAATACCTATACTGAAAAGTATAAATGAATCTGTACAACGAAATTGTTCGAGTGAAGTGAACAATCGAGTGATATCAATATTGTCAGTGAATATATTGATATCGTACACCGTGGTATACCGTGAACATACACAATAAATTGAATCAACTAAATTTAACAGGAGTTAGAAGAATAATCAGTTGAATTTAATTATCGATTAAATAAAAAATAGTTTAAAATTCACAGAAATTAAAGAAAGTATTTAATACAAAAAAATTAATTAATTAATTTTGGAAAGGTGTTTCCTTTGGATTCGTATTATTTAATATTTAACAAAGAGTTAGAAGAATAATCAGTTCAATTTAATTATTGATTAAATAAAAAATAATTTAAAATTCACAGAAATTAAAGGAAGTATTTAATACAAAAGCACAATAATTTAATTAATTAAATCATTAATTAATTTTGGAAAGGTGTTTCCTTTGGATTCGTATTATTTAATATTACTTTGATTTTTGCTTTAATATTGTTTGCTCGATCCGTAACGTACAGCTGCCATAATTCATCGCGATCTTTTTACCTAGTTAAACAAGGCGATACAAGATTTTGTATAGATTCCTCGGGTCTCGGCTTTTAATCCTCTTTGCATTCTCGCGAAGTACGAGCCAATAATTCCAAGCTGCATATCATTATGCGTAGAATAGCGCGACAAATTCCGTCTTCGAAAGAAACAGACGAATTTGCATAAAATATAATCGTGGAACAACGTAGGCGATCATGTCGACTAAATATATCTGCTGAAAGGGTTCGCCTGGGAATTCTCCTATTTTTATTCCCTTCCTTCCTCGCCACGCAATCTACCCTTTTATGAACTCTGTTAATGGACGCCACGTTTGATCGACTTGGCTATACGATACTTTCCTTTTCTTCCACTGAGAATGGATCAGGTGAACGAGACCATTCGACGGCTCTGAAAACAACCTAGGATTATTCTAAAACCTTTTCCTTTCCTCGTCGTTTCGCTTCATTCCTTTTTACAGATCGAAAATATTTGATTTGGGATTCGTTCGACTGTGACTGTAAAAGTGTCTGGATCGAAGGAATCGAAGTTTGTGATTTTTGTGAGAAAGTTTGTGGGAAAGTTTGCGGGAAAAATGTCGTTGTTATTGGAAAGAGCGGATCCGTCTTCGAATAGGAATTATTATTGCGATATATTACTGCGATATTTTGTGCCTAAAGTCTGCTGTGTTAATAATATCTGTCTTTATGCGTGTGTTACAGAGGAAGATTCGCTACAAGTGGCGGATTCGGACTATACAGACAACGCATTGGAGAATCTGATGCGAGCGGCCCAGCAAAAGTGAGTATTCGTTCTATTACTCTGTCAAGGTGTGTTTAATCCTTTGCCCCGCTTTTAGAAATTTTTATAATTAGTATTCTATTCGTTTCCCACTTTTCACACGTAGATGAACATATTTCGGAATTATCGAAATGCTAAAACTAAAATTTTCGAAAAAAAGAACACGTAATTTGCAAAATTAGGTTGGAAGAAGAAGAGGACCAATGTACCAATTTACATTTCATCCTGCATTCTAGACCCCAAACACAGTGCTTATTCAATAAGTATAATAATGAAAGTCAAGTTCTTGCATGCTTCATAGGCAGTAATTTTCCTTTTCATATTTTAATTAACCCTCTAAGGACGGAATTATTTCATTCAAAAATTTGTTTTGTCATTTTTGTGATTTTGGTATCCAATGACGTGTCGCGATTTTACAAGAGAATATAGATACACGAGGTTTTACGTACACTCTTCGAGTAACGTAAGACCGTATTTCCACGTACAAAACAAAGAAAATTCTACGTAAAATCGTGCTTAACCACTTGCGCTGGAAAGACGTGTCGCGCACGTGGTAATACTTTTGTGGCAGAATCGCCAACGACGTGGTACACACGTCGTCAGGCAATTGTCACAGAAACACTGGACCATTCTGGCACATGCGTCTGTAAATTTCTTGCCAGCGCAAGTGGTTAAGAAGTTAAACAAGAAGAGAACAATCTTTTAGTACCTTTCTTCTCCCCATCTCGATGTCTCGGTGTCTTTGTGTGGCATTATTCTGATACCCTTAATCTCGAGTAGACGTTCCTCGTTGATTTACCTGTTTAGGCGGGCCTGCATAAGACGGGGTGGAAATTGCGACCACCGGCCGAAGGACTGCTGCTTCAGCTCCAGCTGCAGGTGCAATCTGTGGGGCTCAAACTGTCGGTGCCAACGGGTGGGTCTGTTCCAGAAATGGGGCTAAACCTGCTCCGTCTTCCTCAAATCTTTCGACGAGAACGTTTCTTCTTATAGCACGCGGCGCGATTATCTGCACGATTCGTATAATTCTCAAACTTTCGTTTTATTCCTCGCGGTCTTACCCCCTTTCGTTCCTGACTACCATCCCTGAATGCCCGAGTTTAATGCGTTTGTTGTACAAATCTGATCATTGTCTATTCGCGGTCTAAAATTGCGTAACTTACGACTAGATTTAGATAGAGTTTAATTTTGCGATCGAGTAAATAGTAATGGAGAAATATGTTGGTAGAACAGAGAGCTTCCGAGTGTATGAATTGCGGAGAGAGTGAATTTTTACGCGCACTTTTCTTCGTTGCTCCCTTTGCTTCGTTCATTCGGTTGTCATCCGTGTTCTAAGAATTCATCATTTTTCTTCCTGTTTTCGTTTCGATGCATAATTTCTGCACATCTCGTATCTACCTCCCTCGTGTATAATACTCGAATAATAAACCTTATCGAGAGGCATTTTGTTTCTGTTCCTTTTTTATGTCTATTAAGCCTGTAGATATTTTACTTTTGATCTTTAGTTTCTTTATTTTTTAACGAAATTATTATCCCTCGAGTTCTGCTATCTTTTTATTTCACTTGTTTATCGATTACTCGTAAATTAAGAGCTACTTCGAGGCCTTGCGCAATTTGTCAGAGATCAAACGAAAACCCCATCAAAGCGTACAGAGAAGCAAAGAGAAATAAACTAGGCATTGGACTAAGCACCTTCCTCGATGTTCGCTTTATTTTCTGTAACAAACGAATGAAACCAACGAGAAGCGTGTAAAAACGGAACACGAAGCGGTCCATATGTTAAGCGAACTGATTCTTCCACTGTGACGATAATGCTAAGTTGAAATTAACGATAAATCGCAAGCGACGCAGAGGAAAGGAGCACCCAGCGCAAGGAGATGAACGTTTTAGGTTGAAACTGCGTTTCTGTTAGCCTTAAGTTAGCCGGTGTTCGCTGATTATTTTCAAGCGAAGTCTCATTAAACGTTGTAGTAATTTAAAAAGCGATTGCAGGTGGAAATATTGGCGAAGAGGCGTTTTTCTTTGCGATAGATTTGCATAGCGAGTTATTTCGGCACGGATCCCATGGAGATTTTCTGTTCATCGCGAGACACACTTGTCGTGTAATTGTGAATCGTGTCTGTTATCGATATAATAACTATCACCAGGGATAACAGGAAGGATTGTATAAAATGACTAGCGTTACAGAAAGGTTGAACGATTGATCGTGAATTAATCGCGAGCAATTATCCGTCAGGCTCGATTTCTCTGGTGCTTCGGACCGTCATCTTCTTCGATTACGCGATGATGAAATTGGAAATTCGACGAATTTTAACCAAGGTAAAATTGCACGGGTACACCGACGTCTAATCGGCGTTTCCTCTGGCCACTTTTACCGATCAGGCGTCGGCGTGTCTTCGTTTATCGCTGTCGAGGACGATCACGGCCGTTTCGTAGAATAATCGAATAAACTTATTTAATAAAAATTGATTCCCGAAAGATAGGGAGACTCTCGGTTCAGACACGAGCCGAATCTCTTCTATTCGAATTTTAAACGTACGTGTATGCATATTAATTATAAATGAAAAATACAATAATGGATGTTATCGTATCGTATCGGAAGGTGGATGTACATGTACCGATATATTATATGGAAATATAATATATATTATATATGTAACGGCAAAGTAATTTTCTCTCCTATGAAACCTTTACCGTATTTTATCGTTTTCCTCCTGTCATTTTCTTTTACGTGCATTTATATCATCCTTTCCTCTCAGGAGATAATAAAGCACGGATAACAAGGTACTCTTTGTGCCTTTGTTTGGATCCAACTGTATTGATAAACTTATTGTATTAAAATACGTTACGATGGCGGTATAAACGTATCGTATAGGAAAACCTTTTCCTCGTGCATATCGTTTCGTTGGAAATGCACCAACTCGCAAAAGGAAATGGTGGTCTAAAGCTTTCCAAATCCTCCTGGATACTAAGAACGTTTGCAGAAAAGTGTGTCCTTAGACGGAGGTTGCAACTCCATTCTACGATTTCTATTTCAAACTCTGCAAAATATGATCTTCACCCACAACTTTTCTCTCTCCGCATGACATTATCCATAAACCGTGCTCCAGACGCTACGCTGTATCAGTTAGCTAAAATTCCAACGAGTAAACGCAAAATCCAGGAAAAACTGTCTCTGAAACAAGAAAGCAAAGGAATTCTTCCAGAATGTTAAGATGTTTCGTAAAGAACATCTTAGAAGTATGTCAATTTATCAAAACTTTGACAAGTGGACCAGAAGTCGGTCGAATGAAGAAAGTTTCCGCAAGGAGGAGGTAAAAGACAAAAGATGGGAGAATAAACAGGCAGTGGAGAATTACGAGAGGATTCCAACGTTTTTAAAAATATTCAACCATTGAAAAATATGGGAAAAGAGCTTTAAGAAAATATTTGGAAAAGAATCGCCGTAAAAATGGCCGTTAGCCTAAGGTCGTGACAGGAAGATGCGATAGAAGGAAAGGAGGCAATTCGTAGGGCACGAGTGTCGGCGTGAAGGGACACGACGAGCTGTCCGGTCGAGCAGTCACGAGCTTGAAACTCGGCCAGAACACGAAACGAAGTGAACGAGACGTTGTCTGAAATCTGCCACGACCTCCCAGAACGACCCAACGACGCCGGTACAGTACCGGATCGAGTGGGTCGAGTAACTGGATCGTGACGTACGTTTGACTTCTATCGCGATGTACTTGCGAGATATCGCCGCGCAGGATCCACGTCCTCGAAACTCGAGGAAGTCGAGGCTCGCGATCGAACAGAGACGAGTCGCGGATCGGCCGGATCCCGAGTTCCCTCTCTCTCTCTTTCTTTCTCTCTCTTTTCCTTTATGGGGCCTCGGGTAGTAGGAGAAGGTTAAACGAGTTAACCTCGAGGAACCATGACGACCCACGGTCCACCCGTCCACTCCACATAGTAAATAATCTCTCCTCGTGGCAAACGCCTGGACATCGTCGATGTGCGCGAATTTTTCGCCACGATGGAAGAAGGTTGGGGATCCCTTGACAGGTTTCCGCAAAGTCAATCTCCGTTACCGAAATGGAGGAGAAAATTGGGGATCCGAGGTGCACTGAGATTGACATCCCTGCTAGAAAAGAGGCTTCGATTAGATTTTTCTGTGAAGATTTGTGCGATATTTTGGCGAAGGAAAAATGTTGGAGGAAAAATCGCGACGAGGTGATACGTTATCGATATCGATAGAGGATTTTTGTTAATTCGGAAAACGAGACGATTAATTTCACGGTTAACGCGGTTAAGAGGTCGATTAAAATGGAGACCACCTGAATAATGGTGTCATTAATAATGAACGTAGTTGACGGATTCTTTTGACGTAGCGTGTCACACTTTTCTTCACGCATGTGACGACGTCTTATTGGACTTGGGTCAATTGGTTTTCCAGGTCGTGTCGCCTCTTGTAATTGCACCGACTAGCATAATCTGGTTAAGGAAAAATAGCGTTCGATCGGGATGACAAAGTTTTAATCAGCTTATCACTCCTGTCTCGCGGATACTATAGCGAAATTCTGGGCCTCGGTAGCGCGAAAAAAATAATAGGTGCGTATTTGGCGACGAGATAGCATGAATCATCCGTGTTGCCATGTGTCGTTCATTTGAGTAATGACGTCATTGAGTCGGTGGTATATTCGTGTTTCATGGATACTCGAAAATAACCAGACCAACTATGTTATATCGCTAAATTTACTGGGACTAAATTTAATTCGAGAGATTACTCGATGAGAAACTGATTTATACTTTTCAATTGATAATTATTTTCAAATAAATTAATTTAATCGACAAAATCAAGAATTTAGGTATTATTAAGCTGGACATTGGTAAAACAATTTCGAAGAGGGCAAAGAAAAGAATATGAAACGAGTCTGGACGATTACAAAATGTTCTCCAGTGAAAGCGAGGGAATAGAGGTCGGAATCACTATCACGGAGTTCGATGACACCGACAGAAGGAGGAACCACAATCTCTAGATCACGTTTTGCACGAGGTTCGAGTTCAACGAACCACGGTTCGATCTTCTATGGCGTTTATCTTTTTCGGTGTTCATTCTCAAGGTAGTGAGAGGTCAGAGGGTTCGTGGTAGGAGATAAAGTTGCCAAAAGGATAGAACAACTGATATTTGCCCAGCACCTTGTTTGCCACCGTGGCAATTTACAATTGATTCAACAGGTGATAGGAAACAGCGAGCTTGGAATGTGAAAATAAGAGAATTTGAAAGAACTCGGATACCTTACGATAATTTTAGTAACACGATATTATTCGACAGTGAGATAAAACTCGAGCTTCGTACTTTCTACTTAAACAGAAAAATTGCAGTGTAAAGTTTCATTTCCTTTCCATGTCTCCGAGTTACAACTGCCATCGTCGGCTGGAGCTAACGAGAAATAATGATTGCAGTGAAGCATCATGTACGTCGACAGGAATATTTACCGATGAATACGAAACGCTATCATCTGTCCATCACTGAACTCATAAAAGCCGTGAAACTCGCACGCTGAAGAGATTAACGAGCGCGGCTAGTTAATTATTCAAAGGAAGAATTGTTTTCGGTTAACAACTGACGCGACAATGACTTTTCATCGGAATTGGCCACGCTTTGTCGCAAACGGTTTAATTACGATCCTCTGTTTCCGCTGGTGTTTCCTTTTATTTGCACGGATAATCCTCGCTGTTCCGAGTTCGCTATCCCGACCAGAAATCAAATTGGTTCCCGTATTCCATATCGAATTGGTAGCACCGTTTCTCACGAAGACCATGATACCACGGTTAGATCTTTAATTTCCTCGAAATTTGCCTCGAGTTCGTTTCGAGCATGCTCGCTTCAATTTCAGCCGTAGAAAATGTATCCAGGAACACAAGAGAAGCCGGAAAACACGGACGGTCGCACGCAATTTTAGCGTAATTTCGAGTAGCACACTCGTGGCAGGTACCTACGTTTTCTCGAATGAAACAACTTTGTAATGAAACCTGCCCGCTTGTTCCTCTTATTGAATCGAGAAGCTTAGAGTGTGTTTAAGAAGCACAGAGTGTATTTATTTCCTTTGATACCCTGTGAAATGTACAGAGTAAATGTATAATAAGTCCAATATAAATTGGTATAAAAATTGAATAGAATGCTTCCTGCACGATAAACGAAAATGTAGCTACACCATGAAGTATATACTTCTATCACATAATTAGTTCCGTTCTACGAATTAAACCAGGAAGCACGATGAACGAGAATCAGCTAGAAGGTAATATCATGGAACACGAAAATGCAACGCTACGCGTAATAGCGCGTCGTATAAACCTCACATAAATGAATAATTATATTGCTATGCTACGATCCGATATTAAAGTCCGCCCTTAAATCAACAGCCATAATTTATCGCATCTGGCAATATTACCGGGAAGAAAAATATCCTAGAGAGTTTGAAACAAGAGGAATCCGCCGCAACCCTCGATCACTGATCGCCGAAATACGCATTCCACGCGAAGCTTATAAATAATGGAGAGCGTTATTCGTAATAACACCATTTCCCTTGCATAATGGTTCACGCTGCACGCCTTCCTCGAAACACCTTTAATAACCACGATTCACCGGCCACCCGTGAATCCACGGATCCATCTTCCGCGAATCCGTTCGACCTCTATCGTCCGATCGATCGATCCTCCCGCCTCTCAGACACGTGCTACGGAACCGTACGGCACCGGTGGTTAACGGTGGTTCGCTTTCGAACGAGCGAGGCGCGCTCGTAAAATCGCGAGCTTCGATAAATCAACCTTGAACGCCGGATCCTGGGACCAACGAGCTTCCACGATTGCTCGATACTCATGCTCGTCCTCGTAACACCCCCTGGACAAGGGGACCAGAGCGTTCCAGCCGGCCCCCGGCGCGATGTTGCGTAAGATTACTATGCGAGAGCGGAGCGTGTAACCTTGAAGAGCCTCGCCAGAGCTGCCTACGCCTCGACAACGATCCGTCCACTCCGTCCAGAGGAGTAACAAAGCGCTCTGTATTCTGCGCTCGCCACGTCTTTCAATGAGAAATACGAAGTTGTACGAGCCGGCCGTGGAAATTGATGGCGATGGGAAATGTGGGTCGAGGTGGTCGGATGCTCGCGAGATGTTTTCCGAGGAATTTCAAGTGTCGAGTGAAGATCGGCATGGGTTTTAGTCTCCTCGACTCCTTTGCAACTTCTTCGCGAGTTGAGTTGGACCTGTCGAATGCAAGAGAGATTTGATATAAGTATACATATCTATGACAGGATACTCGGTGTCTTCAAATGTTTACATTTAATGCTTCTGGTAGAAAGTTAAAATGGGAGATAAATAGTAATCGGGCGTGTAGACACGTGCTTCTTTGATCAGTGAAAATTTCATCTTCGATATCTATCGCGTTACGAAATGGTATAATCGCGGAATGAATTACAAAAAGTGCTAATT